GGCACTACAAATGCAAAGATTTCAGTTCTTAGTGTGTACACCAATCTCATGCGATTTCTGGAAACTGAAGAAAGTCCATCAGGCTGAAACAAAATGGATTTACCATCATCCCATGTCATCATATATGGTGCCTGATGGCAATAAACTGACTCTCCCTGCATTACACTGTTAAAACGCCAAACAAAAATGTATAAATTCAGCTGAATTGTCTATTATGAGTAGGCTTGTCACCAGGCCATGAATGGGTGATTAGCAACTTCTATAAAAGAAAGTGAATGTTCCTTGGTGGCTGAAAAGCTCTCTTCTCCACCTTCATAAAATGATACCCTTCAGTTGGTGTAATGTGCAGACAGTTTTTATGGCAGTTATAACTGGTGAAAAGAGAGCTGAGAGTTTTTAGCTGCAATTTGCTCCCATGTTTCTGTATGCATACAGCTGACAATAAATGGATTTAAGGTCCACAACTTTATTATATGTTCTGCGGAGAGCATCACGCCAAATTACAGGCATCTTGCAAACTGGGAATTGTCTACTCGAGTTGCACAACAGCATGCTGATTTCTAGGGCTAGATATGTCAATTAATCAAGCCATGCTTTGTTTTGCCTGCTTACCACAAAGGTATGTCAGGGAGGCTGCTGATTGCTTAATTCCACACAACAGCTTTAGACAGGTCAAAGCCATCAGAACCCAAAGTCAGTCTCATACCCCCTGAAGCCAGTAGATAATGGGAGGTAGTTTGGAATAAGCTATCCTTCACCATTATTAGGTTGAATCCAGTCCTCATATGAGTTGAGGCTTACCTATGTAATAGGATTTCCATTGTGTGATGAGACATCCTGTTCTCTCCTCTCTGCAAAGCCTTTCACATAAACCTTCACTTGCTCTGGAGTTTCTGTCAGTTCTTTGGAGCAGATTTGGGAGCTGAATAAGGATACCCAGTAAGATGTTGCAGATAAAGCTGTGTGTGTGTGTGTGTGTGTGTGTGTGTGTGTATAAAAATGCAATAGTCTTTCATAATAATTAACTTCAAAAGTCACCAACCTTTGCTTTCATATCATGCACAAGGGATAAACAAGTCTGTAATGCACATAAAAAACAAACACTTTTAGTTTGATAGTGGTCATTTTGTCTGTATAGGTCTATACAGATGTTGTATTTCTAGATAATTCCAGGGCAGATGGCTTATGGTCTAGTTAGCAATATCTATATACCTGTATAATTTTTTTCATCTAATTTGTCCTCTTGCTGAATCTCTTTTCTAGGTGAAAACCTTGAGCTGGTGAGGAATCAGGCAATTTTGTCTCGCTGCTGTTTCTGTAAAAATTTCCCATTTCTGTGTCATAATTTAATATAGTAGGTAGTGTCAGAAGATGAAGCTTTACTTCTTCTCAAGATGGTTTTTCCTTTCTTCTCTCCTTTTTCTTGTTGCTGCTTGACCTGAAGCAATGCCTGCATGTTCATCCTTCAGCTGGCAAGGCAAGGATAGCCTCATGCCTCCCAGTCTATTTTTAAGCTTCAGAGGACCTGTTTGTTTGTTTGTTTGTTCATTTTTGAGGCTTCCTTCCTTCTCAGTATACCTGGCTGAATCTGGATGTAGCATTAAACTGTAGTTTAGCAGTAAGTGCATAAACCGTGGGCTTGTGTGTTTGGCAAGGAGTGGCATCGAGGTGGCAGGCAGCAGAGGACACAGGCAGCAACAGGTAGCCAGGTAGGTAGAAGAGACGTCCCAGGTGGAACAGCTGCAGCTGCTACTTTCACCTCAATTTCTTCAGAATGCATTTAGGTCCTATACTTGGGCCAAAACAATCTGTGAAAATGGGTTTCTCTCTCTGTCATAATACTAGATCATCCCATGGAAGGTTCAGGACAGATAAAAGGAAGCACCTCTACATAAAACATATACCATATGGAAGGTTCAGGACAGATAAAAGGAAGCACCTCTTCATAAAACATATACCATATGGAATACACATGGAATTCACTTTCAGAAGATGTAATGAAACCCAGCAGTTCAAATGGCTTTAACATTTCTAGAAGAGAAGGCCAGCAATGGATATTAATCCTTTTCTACTCATGTCTTCCTTGTGGGATCCTGTGAACAGCTGGTTGGGCATTGTGTGAACTAAATGCTGGACTAGTTGGAACTTGGTCTAATCCAGCATGGCTTTTCTGTGTTTTTATGAGCAGCTTCAGTTCTGTTTCCTGGCTACAAATTTGCTGGCTACAAATTTGGTAAAGCTCGTCACTGCTGTGCTCTTCCAGAGACAGATGTTATGTGCTCCAGGAAAGTAAAGTGCAAACTAGATGCAGTGATAATTACATCATTAGCCTTTGAGTGATTATTTTAAAAACAAAAACAAATTAAAAAAAACCAGTGGTGGTAGTGTGCAAACTTAATTAGAATCATGAGCCCTTTGAGAGTGAAATTTTGCTTTTCATCAATGCCTTAGTCCTGATCTGAATTGGGGTGCCTTTGAATGTTTCATGTCCTGGTATTAAATTGGTCATTGGATATAGATCAAAATCATGGTGGGGGCGAAGGGCTAAAGTGCTCTACTTGAAAGCCATAGAACTGATCCAGTTTGCCCTCTACTGCAGTGGCAAATAACAAACCTACCTTATCTTTTCAGATGTTACATACTTCTTTAATAAGAGAATGTTGCTCCCCCCAACACACTTCATACATTTTCAATATACTGTGAATGGATGCATGGGAGTACAGAAATAACCACGCAAAATGTTTGAACATTGAAGTATTTTGGAGGTTACACCAATTGCTAATGATGCACCAATTGCATCATTCAATTGCTAAATGAATGATGTAATGGAATATTGGTTTTAGCCTTTTTTCAGCATGGCTGAATTGTAATGTGCATTTCCCCATTTTAGTTGTTAACTGTGTAGATGATATTGCATTACTAAATTATGCCAAATGATTTTTAATTTTCTTTTGTATATTTTATTAAAATGTGTCTACAATGTTCTGATTTGAACTGGGCACATTTCATTGACTGTTATTGTTGCTAAGCGTGTGAGTCATATTTGTATTTAGATTTACGTTAAGGTTCAGAGTAGGAAGTATATCAATCCTGTCTCCTCCCTAAATTTAAGGAAATGAATGCAACATTTTTATACAGCTACTATTTTTCCCTGTGCCATGCCTTCTGTTGCATACTGTTTGCACTTATATACTGTGTTTCTGCTTATGATGGGGATTGGGTAAAAGCAGTACTTTCTGGAAATGCTGCAGTTATCATTTTTCTGCTGTAGTGTGAAGTTGCTGATAGAATTGCCTAAGCTACAAGTATGATGATATGATACCAATTAGTAGCTAAAGTAGGAAGACCTAAACCATACCATAAGAATGCTGGAAGAGACTAAATGCCTGTCTAATCCTGCATCCCAGAGTATCTAATCGAATGCCTCTGGGAAGCTCACAAGTAGAATGTGAGAGTGATACCTCTCTGCATACCACCTTGGAATCTAGAAGGCGGTAGATAAAGAGTAAACAAAATCTTCCTTGTTATGCTTATCTTTGTGTGTTGATATACTTAACATTAGAGGTCTTCCTTTATCAACTTGCATTTTAGGTCAAGCGGAAAGGTAAAGAATGTGAAATATAGCAACAATCTTCTAAGCAGAACATTTAATGACAAATTAGACTTGAGAAAATTGTAATATTTTTGTACAGTTTCATATCTATCACTTTCATAGCCCACTTCTTAGCTTAATTAGCTTGTCTTAAATAGCTCATTGGGTGACCTCTATTCACCCAAGAATGCTGTCTGATTCAATCTGCCACCTACAGCACTTCTGTTTGCAAAAGTTGTGCTTAAAATGCCGGTAGAACATTTGTCCCACTAGCGATAGAATCTCTTAAGTATTAACTGACTTTCCTCAGTGTCAATACAGTTTTATGTTGTTTGCGCCAATCAAGAATTTGTAAAAGCAGTTGGTATGATAGCAGAATTCTATGTATGTCTGCTCAGAAGAAAACCCATTGAGCTCAGTGTGGTTTACTCCCAGGAAAATGTGTATAGGATCATAACCTGAAGCAAAGGTTTCAAATTAATAGTTTATACGCAAATAAATTGGAAATTAACACAAGCCAAGTTTGTCCATCATATATGGAAGTACATCTTTGAATATGGCTTTTACCTGCTTAGAACAGCCTAGTGTTAGTGAGCAGTATCTAGTACTATTTTTGCACTCCTACCTGATTTGTGGCAAAAGTGGGGCTGACCACTTGTGCAAATGGAAAACCACCTGTTCAAAAAGCAATCCTGGAAGCAAATGAAAACGCTTCTCTTTGGATTGGGAGAAGTCAGTGGACCTTTTTTTCCCCTGGCAATTTCTGCTGACCTCCTTCATTCCAGAAATGAACATTTCCACTATTTTATGGTGTCTTGTCACTAGCACAGCAAGGTCCACGCTGTGCTAGTGCTAAGTCCTGCTGGCATATAGACAGACTTGGATACTGCCCAGTAAGTTTTTCCTGCTTAGTTCTTTTAGGATAATTCACACAACTAATGATTTTCCCATTGAAAAACTATACCCATTGATGGCACACATTTAATCAAATTCTATCCCAGCTAGCCAATATGTGATACATATTTAGGATTACTGATCTGTCATATGGTAGTTGTGCTTGAAACATCTTTCTATGAATCTGTACAGAGAAACATGTTAATGTCAGAGCATCAAAGCAGTGATGGGAGGCTTCAAGAGGGAAATGTTAACAGGAAAGTATTTAGGGTACAGTTGAATCCATGGTTAACTTTGCTTAGGCAGTGTTAAATAAAGTAGGTCAGAACTGTGCCCATGTGCTAGATTACACCCTTTATTACACTGCATATGTTTTTGGAAAAAAGTGTTAGGTCTAGTATGGAAAACATTTAAGAGTTCCCACTGAGGAATTTATAATTCCACCATAAAGATCTCAATGACTTATAATTGATGTAAAGGATTAAAAAAAAACATTTTCTGCAATTGTTTTTAGCTTTAGACCCAGCTAAGGATCCATGTTTAAAGATGAAATGTAGTCGCCATAAAGTATGCGTTGCTCAAGATCAACAAACTGCTGTTTGCATCAGCCACCGGAGACTGACGCACAGGTAAATATCTGCATGTTATTAATTAGTTCTTAGTAACTAGTACTGCAAATATGGAATTCCGTTAACTGCTGCATTTTCACTACATCTCAGAGTAGAGGTCAGAAAAAAATGTGTGTGGGAGAATTAACATATTGTGAGAATTCTGTGCATTAAAAAGAAACCTTCATGGACTTGAAGAAGAGTAGATTTCAGAATCCTTTCCTACAGTGGTTCCTTTGATGAGGGAATGTAAATGGGATTTGACCCTGCACAGATTCTGCTATTTTTCAGTGAGGTGCCAGCTGAAGCAGTCTCTGATTGCAGCCACATTGGATTGCCATGGTCATTTCCATATTTCTGCTAGTTCTGTGTTCATACCAGTTCTCCCAGAAAGGTACCTGATTATTGCCTACATCACTGAGATAATTTCTAAAAACATTTAGTTGTATTATGAAATCAGTAGAGAATCTCCAGTGTTTCTGTCCAAAGTGCACCACTGAAAGCCCATGTGCCCCTGCAAACACACTTTCAACTTAAATGTGCAGTGTATAGGTTGCAAGCCAACCTATATTTCTGAAATGGCCAGTTAGTTAATGGCAAACTAACATACAGTACCATTTTATAAAATTAGTATATGTTGATTGCATTATTAATGGTAAAACAGTAATAGTCACCTACTTGAAAGTACCACAGTGACCATTTCCATAGGATTTCATTAAATCTGCTCCATCATCATTTTGCAGATTGTCAGGTGCCGTTTGTTCTCTCTGGTTATTGATGGAATTGAATTATTTTTACTTTCCCCAAATTCCCAAAAAATCTGTATATGGGGAAAATGCAGTTTTACTATTTCTCCATATCCTTTTCTATAATCACATGTGTGTAAATTTTAGGAAAGTAAAATAAAGCAGTCATCCAATTTGAAAAATCTGCATGCATTGGGAAAAAAACTGATTCCTAGAAATAGGAACTCGTATGAATCTGACATCTCTAATATCACACTGTGGTACTCTGAGCACCATGGCTGTAAACTGCTGTATGGCAATGGAAAAACTGAGCTCTTTCTTCTCCTCTCCTCTCCATAATGAGAGGATAGTCCATACTCCCTAATGTTGTGCTGGCTGGTAAGGAAATCTGCACTATCTCACATAATTACTGAGATAGCAGTTCTGCCATCATATCTTCCCATTGCCATCTACTTAGGATCAAGACAGGCAGTGGAAAATATGACCTAGTAGCTTCCTTCCTTCACAGTGCTCAGAATGTGTGTGATTGAGGCAGTCTCCCAGCAAAGCCCAGTAGTCGTGAGCTACCACAAAGAGTAGATCACTGTATTTTTTTAAAAAAACCTAATATTTCTAGTGCGTTTTATTCTTTGGTATTATCGGTTTAATGCTGCTTTTATTACGTATTTCACCTTGAGAGTTTTGACTGTAGGGCTGAAGAACTGAAATGGCAATGAAATGATAATTGAAGTCCGGGCCCAATTCAAGGTGTTGGTTATGACCTATAAAGCCCTAAATGGCTTGGGACCTGGATATCTAAAGGAATGCTTGCACCCATATATGCCCTCCTGCTCCTTGAGATCAGCAATGGATGCCCTTCTCCGGGAGCCCTCTGTGAGGGACATTAGGAGGGTGAGCACCTGGAGGAGGGCTTTCTCTGCCGTGGCGCCCCATCTATGGAATGCGCTCCCCAGAGAGGTCCGCCTGGCACTGTCATTATTTGTTTTTCGGTGCCAGGCTAAGACCTTTTTATTTAAAACTTATTTTAATTGCTGAATTATTATATTTATTAGGATTTTAAATTAGCCGAGAATGCACTGGGGGTTTTTAATTTATATATATATATATATATATATATATATATATATATATATATATATCTTTGTGAGCCGCCCCGAGGCTTTGTTGCGATGGGGGCGGCACAGAAATGTTTTAAATAAATAAATAAATAAATAAATAATCCATTCAGGTCTCTGCTTCTAGGAGAAAAGCGTCTTCTCTAATTAACCCAGAACATGAGGCAGATGCCTTCTGAGATCAGAGGAGAGGCCAACCAGATAGCCCCTCCTGCTGATTATTGGCACCACATGAAAATGGTGTATTCTGGCATGGCTTAATGTGGGCAGAGGATGAGGATGTTCCTGGGAATCACTGTGTAAAGCTGACAGTTGCACATTTGAAAGAAAAGTGCTCTCTAATATGTATTATAATTTCTTTATTACCTGATATATAAGATTACACTCTTGCAAAAGAAAGAACAAAGTACTTGACCTCATGTCTCATATGCATGCATAAGTCAAATATGCATTTTATAGGATATTTTGTTTATAATTCACTGGGACCTATTTTAACATAAAGGTTCTTCTTTTCTTCAGCAAGGGCTGCTTCTTGATTTAATAGATATCACTTAGCGAATCCACATGGTGGATGCTATTTTGCTAGTTGATCCAGTTGAAAGACAAGTTTATCCTTTGCATGCACAGGCTTCTATCAAGTTATGTTAATGCTTGTTCATAATAATGTTTAACATGTAAATATATTCCTGTATTCTGTTGCTTTTCATTTGATATTTCTCCCTCTAGTAATGCAGTATTTCTGTAAAAAATGAGACCCTTTCAGTTTGAGGGAACACATTTTCTTGCCAAATCCTTAAATTTATGCAATCATTGGCGGCTGGTACACACAATTCTCAAAATAGATAGTTTTAATTGAGTGCACCTGCACTGCTTAGGAAAGCTTACCAGTGGGTTTGATTTATTTTTTAGTTGTTTCTTGCTTCACAAAAATACTAGCTTGTTTTGATAAACTACAGATTTATTAAGAACTAAACACGATTGGTTATCAAGAAGCTTTCTTCCTAATAGAGGGCAAATAAACACCTGGGCCATTATGGTTCATTTTCCATGCAGCCTTGAATCCCCTTGCTTACAGAGTTGAAGCTGATGGAAGTCAGAATAAGTTTTCCATGCATGTAGGGAAAAAATTGGGTGAATCTTGTAGGCCAGTCCACCTGCACTTTGTAAGGTGGCTGATACCATGGATATATTGTACTAATGATGAACCAGAGGATTTAGATTATACATTAACCTCCGTGATAAATAGTGTATGTAAAATATTATTAACAAGTATCCACTAGTAAAAGTAGTAAAATATTTATTTAAAAGTATGTAAAATATTATTAACTAGTATCCACTCTTTATGAAATTTATTTATTTATTAAATGTATATCCTGCCTACTTTTTTCTTACAAAGAACTCAAAGCAGCTCACATAATTCTCCTTGTCCTGCTGTCAGTGATATCCCCACAATGACAACCTTATGAGGTAGGTTGGGCTAAAAGAGTTCTTTTACTGACCCAAAGTCACCCAGCTGGCTCCATGGCCAGCAGGGACTAGAACACAGGTCACCTGAGTCCCAGTCCTGCCCTCTAAACCACTACACCACACTGGCACTCACACTACTCTCTTGCAACACAGCCAAGCAGGCATGTCTCCATTCCCCCAAGGCACCTTTGAAATAAAACCAATGGAAAGTGGACTGAAGATACTACAGTTATTTCCTGTTGGCAGGAAGTAAAACTGAATGTTACCCGTCTCTTTTATCTCACCCTCTTTCTCATCAAATGATATGTGAACTCCTTGCTCATTCATCTAGCAGTATCCTCTTCCCTAGTACTTGCATCAAGTGCTAGAAAGCCTTTCCAGTTTACGCCCCTGCATACTCTGCAATAGTTCACTTCCATGTCAACTAGCCTTTGTCCATAGCCCAGCTGACAAACATTTCTGGCCAACTGGGCTACAGTAGAGCTATAAGTGTGGTTTACAAATTAAATAAATAAACAGGCATCTTGCAAATATCAATTCTAGGCAATGCCATTCACTGAGGCTGCCTGTAACCTTTTCAACTTTGAAGATTGTAGCATCCAGTGGAGAATGAAAGGAACACAGAATTGAATGTTGCCTTTGTATTTCCCCTTCCCTGAAAAAGACATGGATAGCTGAAGTGCTACCAGAATACTGGGTATGGTGGCAGAGGCTCACTCCTTCCCTCCCCACCCTCCAGAATGCCACAGACCTTTCTCTCTGAAGCTAATATGCCAACTTTAGCAATCACTGCAGAAAGTATTGCACTGGCTGCAAGGGAGGAGGGAGGGTATTCTGAGGTCAAAATCTAGTGGTCATAGGATTACGGCCTTAGTTCGCAATCCTATGCATATTTAGTTATGGTAAATAATTGAACTTCTGAGTAGGCGTGCATTGGGATTACACTGTCAGCTTCTCTCCCTCTCCTCTCTTTTTGCACAAAATACTCCTCATCCATTTACTGTTTAAGTTTTCAACACAGATGTTAAATGAAAGCTGGGAAGGGGTATTGTATAATTATAATTTATGGAATGTGCTCCCCAGAGAGGTCCGCCTGGCGCCGTCGTTATTTGTTTTTCGGCGCCAGGCGGAGACCTTTTTATTCAAACGTCATTTTAATTGCTAATATTATTTCCTTATTTTATTCTTTGGCCAGGGTGACTTATTTTATATTGTAATTCATTTTTATATTTTTAATGTATTATATTTTAATGTTTTGTGAGCCACAGGAGCCACAACTATTTGTGAGCCATTCGGCGGATGGGGCGGCATAGAAATTTTCTAAATAAATAAATAAATAAATAAATAAATAAATAAATAAATAAATAAATAAAGTAAGTAAGTAAGTAAGTAAGTAAGTAAGTAAGTAAGTAAGTAAGTAAGTAAGTAAGTAAGTAAGTAAGTTCTGGAGTGCTTGGGGGCACCTCCTTGCAGCTTCCTGGAATCCAGCTATAAGTTATATTTCCCTAATGGCCAATATGTTAACTTTTGTTACTGACTTCTGCAATTTTCCTCTTTTGTATCGCAAAACAAGCCTATCCAGTCAGCCTTAACATAATAAAGACTTTAGCTGGAAAGCCTTTTGTCCTGATCTGCTTGCAAGGGAAGAGAGTAGAGCAGCTGTCAACACTGTGCACCTTCTGTGCCACCGTGG